AAAGGCACGGGGGGAGGGGGGGACGGGGGGGCTGAAGCAGAGTTCCTAGCCAAACAGTGGGGGGACTATACTCTCTCCTGAATAAAAGCGGAAGAAAAATGAACTTACTCTTTTGTATTGCTTTGTCTTGTTTGTTTGTTGAGATAGGGTTTCACTATGTGGCCCTGACTGGTCTAGAACTCACTTTGTAGACCAGGCTGGCCTTTAACTCACAGAGCTCTGCCTTCCTCTGCTTCCTGAAGTGCCAGAATTAAAAGGGTGTGCGGCTACACCACACTCGGCTCACTCTGCTATTCTTATGTCCTATTCAATGCATCAATGATACTTAGTAGCATTTCTGGTCTCTGCTTACCAGTTATCAGAAGTGAAATCTTCCCCCCCAAACACACACACACCCTAGCTCCCACGCTCCTCTCAGCTATGGCAACCAAATACAACTTCAGAAATTGTTCAATGTTCTATGTGGGGTAAAATTGCCTCCCCCTCCACTTGGAAAGCACTAAACAGAGAATGTAATGTGGATGATGGATTAGAGTACAAGATGAATTTTACTAGGAAATGATATAAAACAGTAATAATCATCATCCAACTATACACATAGGATTTCACACATAATTTCACTTCCAAGAGCATTTGTTCACTAATCTGTTGTCCTGCCAAAATCATTACCAAGGTAATATTGTCCAACAATGATGCTTTCTATTAAAGACTGTACTGAATAACACTCAACAACTGAGACTCTGTTGTGCAAATCATAAAATTGAATTACAAAGGGTTGGAGAGATGACTCAAACAAGAGTCCTGGCTGCTCTTCAACAGGACCCAGGTTCAATTCCCAGCCATATGGTGGTTCACAACCATCTGTAACTACAGTTCCAGGAGATCTGATGCCCTCTTCTGACCTCCTCCAGCACCAGGCATACATATGACACATAGGCATATACGTAGGCAAAACACTCATACACATAAAAATAAATTTAAAAATAATCTTTTTTATTTAGTTATAAAAAGTTAGAAATTGGAGAAAAATAAAGCTACCTATACACTTACAACTCTAACATAAACATGGCCTCTCCTCATTGTTACTCCACTAAGCATGTTTTAAGTTTATGTATACTCATGGTTACATACAATTACACAGTTTCTTAAACTTCAATTTACAAGCATATGTCCATGCTTCCAAGTATCTTCAAAACTAATTCATGGCTGTATGCAAGTAGCACTTAAGTACCAATTATGAAACATAATATTTACATACTCACTCAGGGAGATTCACAGAAAAAAGTTATTGAGTTAAACAGGATACACATTTTTAGATTCTGCAATCATATGTTCATACTAACAAGTTACTTTTCATGCAGTTTTCACAAATGCGCCATACCCTCAAAGATGCATGTGGTGTCAAGTTCAGCAGCAGTGAACATAACTTTGAACATGGTTTTCATTGTTACCAATTTATAAAAGTACTGTTGTTTGATTTTGGAGTTTCCCTGAGTATTAAGGAGATTGACAATTGTTTGTGTATTGTCTCACTAATTTCCACTTTCTAAAAAAGTTTACTTTATCAAAGACTCTGAGAGGGGATTGGTAGACTATTCTCTGCCTTTGTTCTTAGCCTACCACCTTCTGGGATGTGGCGTGTCATGCCAACTTATAATAATGAAATATTTAATAAAGACAATGTAACATTTTGGCATTCAGTTTTTTGGCATCCTGTTTGCCTAAAACATTGGTTTTTTTTTTAAGATTTACTTATTTATCACATATACAGTATTCTGCCTACATGCCAGAAGAGGGCACCAGGTTGAATTGTAGATGGCTGTGAGCCACCATGTGGTTGCTGGGAATTGAACTCAGGACCCCTGGAAGAGCAGTCAGCGCTCTAAACCTCTGAGCCATCTCTCCAGCCCTAAAACATTGTTTTTGTGACTGGTTCTCCTTTTCTTATTGTCAAGTACAGTGGGTTGTTGTAGGCTGTTGAGTTTTCTTTGGGGTCTATTGGTCCTTTGTTAGCTCTGTGGTTTTGCTGGGACTCTTTAGATAGGATGAACTGATACAACTATGTGCCACACATTGTTCTGGACTATAAACACTGGAGTTCAGTAGGACAAAACGTGTTTCTTGAAGCTGGCGAGATGGCTTGATATTAACAGCACTTGATACTCTTACAAAGGATCAAGGTTCAGTTCCCAGCACCCACAGGGCAATTCACAACCCTCTGTAACTCAGTTCCAGGGAATCTGACACCCTCTTCTGGCCTCCATGGCACCAAGCATGCCTGCAGTGCACATATGTATATGCAAGCAAATACTTAGAGAAATAAGTCTTTTAAAATTTTACTCTTACAAAGTGCACTGAATGTTTTATGTCAACTTGACACAAGCTAAAGTCACTTTAAGAAAGTGAACTTTAAGAAAATTCCTCCCCAAGACTGGGCTATAAGAAAACCTGTAGATTATTTTCTTGATTGGTGATTGATGGGAAAGGGCTCAGTCCACTATGGGTGAGGCTATCCCTAGGCTGGTGGAACTGGGTTCATTAAGAAACCAGGCTGAGCAAGAGGTGAGGAGAAAGCCAGTAAGCAGCACCCTTCCATGGCTTCTGCATCAGCTCCTGACTCCAGGTTCCTGCCCTATTTGAGTCCCTGTCCCGACTTCCTTCAGAGATGGACCACCATGTGGAAGTGTAAGCTAAATAAACCCTTGCCTCCCCAACTTGCTTTGGTCATGATGTTTCAACACAATAGAAACCCTAACTAGGACAGAAAGTGTTCCTTGACAAGGAAAATCATCGAAAACAAGTAAATGTCCTGTGTAGGGTGCTTCTGAACACCATTATGTAGAGTGAAGCCTTTTCCTCCACCAGCCGCTTCAGTTTTTCCCCCACCAGCTGCCTGGGCTCTGCCACAGTTGCAGTCCCCAAATAACACACAAGACACTATATTACTTATGAAGCTGTTGGCCTTGCTTATTTCTTACTGGCTAGCTCTGACTTAAGTATTTACTCCATAATTGTTAATCTAAGTATTTCTCTTATCGGAGAAAAAGGTCCGGACTTCTTACCCCTATGGCAGCTACATGATGACTCCCTGTGTTTCTCCTTCCCAGAATCCTGCTGGACTCCTAGTTCCACCTATCTTACTTCCCTATTGGCCAACAGTGCTTTATTCAACAACCAATAAGAGACAGATTTACAGAATGGCATCTCCCATCATCTCCTCTTTTCTTCTAAATAAAAAGAAAGGTTTTAACTTTAACATAGTCAAATTATATATAGCAGAACAGTTATCAAGTAAGAACATAGTTACAATATTATGTCCATTAACAATTTAGTAAGATCGGCCGGGCGTTGGTGGCGCACGCCTTTAATCCCAGCCCTCGGGAGGCAGAGGCAGGTGGATCTCAGTGAGTTCGAGGCCAGCCTGGTCTACAAAGCGAGTTCCAGGACAGCCTCCAAGACAATACAGAGAAACCCTGTCTCGAAAAACCAAAAAAAAAAAAAAACAATTTAGTAAGATTTAAAGAAAATATTATATATCCTATCTTTGTGAGTCTAAAGTCTTAGATGTAGCTTATCTTTTATCATAACTAAGGAAAACTATGATTATAATTATCTGTCTTCAACTCTATCAAAGACCACAGAAGGATAATATATAAACACTAGGATTGACAGAGACATCTGCTGCCTGGACAGTCACCTGAAGTTTCTCTCTAACGTTGGGGCATCCATCTTCAGCCCATAGGCCATAGTGTGTCTAGAAGATGTCTCAGCAAAGCAGGAATTTTCAAATTGTCCATCTGCATTGGCAGTCTCTCATTCATCTTTCTGTGTCCTGTAGAAATTCTCGTAGACTCTTCCATGAAGCAGGAAGTCTGAAGGACTGTTTGAGTTCAGCAGTCACTTTCCTATGGGTCCTGCATGTCCAGATTATACAGCAATAGTCAAGCAGTCCAGGCAAGAGCAGTTTCTTGCCCAAATGGCTAATCCTGCCATGTTGAAAGCAAACTCCATAACAAGTTTCTTCGATGCCCATCTTCCTCTCAGATGTAATTGGTGTTTCCAGGAGCAGACATTTCTCATTGTCAAGAAAAACCCTAAACCATTTTAAATGTCATTTTTGAAGGTCTTTGAAAGGTTTGAAGACTATCTATCTATCTATCTCAAATATATCTCTGTATATCTAGAAAACTTAACTAACCTAACTATAACCTAACTGTAAGTTCTGACTATTATAAGTAACTATCTATAGTCTGTATTCAATTATACAATATGTTTTAAAAGATCAATATAAGCACAATACTTAATCAAGAGGAGAAATATACACATCACAAAATTGACCTTGAATTAGTATCAATAAATGAAAAACCATACAAATACAAAGTACTCATTTCCATACCATAATTCCCTTTTTCCTTTAAAAAGAGATTGGTTGTGATCATTAACCAGGTATAAGCAACCCCATTCAAATGAAAACAAAGATTTATAAACAATATGGGGATTTGGATGTCGCTCATTCCAAACTGCTTCCTGCTGGATGGGGGTGCATGGGGATCATGACAAAACTCAGAAACCTGTATAAGTCCTTATTTTCGGAGTCTGTAAGGCTGCATCATCTTAGCTGTCTCAATTGTTGGAACACCTGGCCCACTGATTCCGGGGGTCTTGGTTCATCAAACCACAGAAGCCTGGAAGGAATCCACAGCTTTCCATTTTCTGTAGAAACATAAACAAAAACTCTTTTCCCAAGTAACTAGTCCTTATATTTAAAGTTAGAAGTCAAAACATTTTTGAAAAGAGGGCAAGAGGTTCTGCTGCTCAGTCTTTTATTCTTTCCTCTGTACACACCCCTAGCCATGCCCAAATGTGGGCCTGGCTAGTGACGTAGTGATGGGGGAAGTCCTGTGATTATGTCAATAAAGCACTGTTGGCCAATAGGGAAGTTAGATAGGTGGGACTAGGAGTCCAGGAGGACTCTGGGTAGAAGTAACACAGAGAGTCAAGATGTAACGCCATGGGGTAGGAAGTCCGGAACTATTCTCCGGTAAGAGAGATACTTAGATTAACAATTATGGGGTAATTACTTAAGTCAGAGCTAGCCAGTAAGAAATGAACAAGGCCAACAGCTTCATAATTAATATAGCCTCCTGTGTGTTTATTTGGGACTGATGCTGCACTAGAACCAGGCTGGCGGGAAGGCTTCTCTCAAGGAAAAGGTTTCTCTTTACAACATAGTTCACCGCCTGGCTAGTGACGTAGTTCACCGCCTACATCCATATACATCTTTAGTCACTCAAGTCTAAAGTGGGTGTGGTTAGCAGTGTGGTAAACCACCCTTTTATTACCTCATCTGTATGCGCCTCTAATATGCCACATGGCTAATGGCAGAGTACTAAATTTCCCCCTACAGTCCTGACAAGTCACAATATTCTGTCTCCCATCGTGGCATAGCAATGCTGGGATTACAGATGACCACTACTGTGCTCAGCTGCACATGGGTTCCAGGGATTTGAACTCAGTTAGTTCCTCATTCTTTCAAAGTAAGCACTTCATCCACTCACTGAGCCATCTCCCCAACCCTCACCTTTGTTTTTGTTTTCTTTGGCTTTTAAACAGCCTCTTTCTCTCACCTTACCCTTAAAACACCAAGGAAAGTAAAATCAAATGCTATCATTTTAACCACCAAACTAAGCTTAGATGGCCACTAGTTGTGCCTTCTCAATGTGCTTACTAACCTATTACATCAACTTCACCTTGGATACAGAAATGATTGGAGATTTTCCATTGCTTAGCAGTGTGAAAACAGTAGGAATCTACTGTTTTAATGGCAGATTAAAAGTAAAAGTCAAGGGCCTTTGGGGATTGCCCTATCAGTAAAATGCTTGCTAGGCAAGCATGATGACCTGAGTTGAGATTTCTATAACTCATTAGTAACTCAAGCTTTGGTGTGTGTGTGTGTGAGAGAGAGACAGACAGACAGACAGACAGACAGACAGACAGACAGACAGATTCCCAGAGCTCTCTGCCCACCTAGTAGAGTCAATTGGAGAGCTTCAGGTTAAGTGAAGGCACCCTGGCCCAAAAAAAAAAATAAGGTGGAGAGTATAGAGGAAGACATAATCTGATGTCTACATACCACAATGCACATATACATATTAAAAAATTAAAGAGCCAGTCATGGTGGCAAATGCCTTTATTCCCAATATTTGGGAAGCAGAGGCAATCAGATCTCTAACCTCCAAACCAGTGTAAAAAAGTAGTTTAATAAGCTCTTGCCTTAAAGGTACCATGTGCAGCACGTAATAAAAGTTCTAAGGTACTTGCTGATTAAATCATTGAAAGAGAAAAGATGAAAAGCCAGTGAGTCATACACATGCGTGACTGTGAGTACTCATGTTAAAACTTCTTGGGCCAAAATATTTGAGGGCATGCCACCACTACTATGAATTTGACATGTGGGTAAACCATCAAACTACTGCTTAAGAAAATCTTGAATACGAATTTGGAGAACTTCCTCAGCCTGTCTCTGTAAGATATGAGGTTTAGTCTTCACAGCTTCAACTCTCCTAAAAAGACATTCATTGGGTATGCCCTCAGCTAAGTGATTGTGGTGACTTTGTAACAAGGTGACTAAAACTTAAGCTTCATCTCAGCCCTGACACATCCTTGTACCCCTGATGTTTCCTCTACTCCTCTTCAATGTCAGAAGCCAGATTCTATTCACTCCCCCTCCCCCCACATACCCATCCCCACCCATGAAATTATCATAAAACTAGGTTTAAGGATTTATACAGGTTAGGCAGGCCAGAGTGTTGTAGACTATTAGAAGTGATACACTTGTTTATGTTGTGGAATATTTGTTTAATGATGCAAAGGTGTGTCACATTCTTTTATGTCGTATTTGTTTAATTCTGTGAAGCTGTGTTACTTTGCCAGTCTAGAACACCTGATTGGTCTAATAAAGAGCTGAACAGCCAATACCAAGGCAGGAGAAAGGATAGGAGGGGTTGGCAGGCAAAGAGAATAAATAGGAGGAGAAATCTGGGAAGAAAGGATTGAGGAGAAAAAAAGGAGGACTCCTCCAGGGGTCAGGCACCCCGCTACTTGGCAAACCATGGAGTAAGAAGTAAAGAAAGATATAGAGGATAAAGATAAAAGCCCAGAGACAAGAGGTATGTGGGATAATTGAAGAAAAGATGGCAAGAAACAAACCAACCTATGGCCAGGAATTTGTAATTAAGAATAAGACTCCATATGATTTATTTGGGAGTTGGGTAGTGGGCCCCACAAAGAGCTAAAGAGTAAAAAAAAAAAAAACAAACCAACAACTACACCTAAGTTCAGTACATACATATAGTAATATGTATCTGTAATCCCAGAGCTCCTGTAACAAGCTAGGAAGACAAAAATTCCTGGATGTTTGGGGGTCCAGCTAGCCTGGTATAGCTAACAGAAAACAAGAGACCCTGACCCTGTCTCAAAGAAAATGAAAGGTGAGAACCAATTGGTGGCATGGGCGTGTATACATACACACATGCACATACCAGAACGAGAGGGGGAAAAAAAACCACTCCAGCTTTCTACAGAGCCAATTGCTCTATATAGTTTTGTATGTGAAATGCATAAATCATCAGCTCTCTGACTTCACAGATGCCCCACCTCACCCCAAATCCTAATGAGGGAGCCTCCAAGCTTCCAAAAATCCTTGTCTCCACTTCCCATCTTGCTATCAGTACACGGGCAGATGTATACCATATGGCTTCTAGAGAACTGAACTTGGGTCTTCTGGCTTGTGTGGCAATCACCTTCCCCATTGAGCCAGATGCTGAGTGAGTGCTCTATCACTGAGTCATACCCCCAGCCCTTTAGCTAGTACCCGTGTTGGCTGCACATTTTCCCCTAAGGATACAGTGCTCTAATGTATTCCTGCGAGCCACGCCCCCCTTGGTTTCTTCTCTCATCGTGAAGTTCTTGTAAGCTGTTAACTTCTGGATGTTCATCACTGCCACTGGTCCTTATGATGAGCCCTTTGTCCTTCAGAGTCCAGTTCTGGGATCATGCTCCTACTTGGGGCCATAGTCTGCAGAGGAGGCTGCCGCCTAACTTCTTGGCGATGCCACTGCTCTCTTTGGCAGTGTGTTCTTAATGGTTTTGGCAAGTGGTGTGATGTTTGGGTCTCCCATACAGCACAGACATCTGGTCTTGTGCGACACTGCCATCTATCATGCCCCCTTCCCTAGCCTCATTTCTTCCTATTTAGGTCTTCCCAGCACTTTTCCCATGCTTCTAAGAACACTCATGGTAAGGCTGTCTCATCCTTTGGAGTCTGGTGTCCTGAAGAATCACCCCTACTGACCTGTGCTCTGAAAGTAGATGCACTGCCCTTGGGCAAGGTCAGGTGACTTATCCTTTATATAGATGACCAAACTTCTCCCCCTGATCTGACTAGTGGGCATCAATTTTTAATCAAACATCTATCACATATGTGACAACGCATGGCCTGCACTCTGTGTGCCGGTTTTACGCCTGCTCCATCTCACTAACCTTTGTTTTCACTTCACTGGCACTTCCTTGCACTTACTCAACACGCTGTCTGCCTAGCACTGTGCTAAATGCTACATGCTAATTATCTCATGCAATCCTGGTTTCTCTATGATGTCATCCTGAGCAAGAAACCAACTCTCTTCTGTAAGTAGGGATAATGATAATGTCTACTTTACAGGGTTGCCATGAGGGTTGATAATAGTTAAAACCAATAGTCATTAAAGTCCACTTGGCTTTTTGGCACCCAAACAATAAGTCAAACCAGTTATTTTACATGATACCAATGTACTAAAGTCTAGAAAGAGAAACATCAGTTTATTCTAAGAATACTCCATATAGAGAGTAAAGTATTACTAATCATATCTATTACGGCCTTAATCAAACTGAAAGCTTTTGTGGTTCCTGTAATTAACAGCACTGTAACAGTCAATCAAGCTGGGAAATAATGAATCTTCATACTGAAAATTCATTTGTTTGTTTTTACAGATAAACGATGGCTCTTTCTGAGGGCAGGACGCCCAAGAAAGCTTGACTTTAAGATCTATTGTTTTTCAGGAATGGTAAGATTACTTTGCACTGACAATTAACAAGGAGGCTTATTCTGCCCCTGGGACTTAGCATATTGCATTAATAATTCAGACACTATGCTACTCTGTCAACTAAGTTTGGCGTCCTCAACGATGGTGAGTTTGCCAATAGGAAAAAAACTTAGGGCAATCCCCTGAGCCTTTCTCCTTGCATTGGATTACATTGTATGGTGCCCATCAGCATGAAAATGCTGTGTCTTTACTTTTTTTGTGGCTTCCCCCCCACGCAAAAAAAAATTTATTTTAAGTCCAATTGGTTTTGTCTACATAGTCACTGGAGCTTGGTCAAATGGTAGCAAGACTCTTAAAGAAAAGTGAGACCTTCCCCACCCCCACCCCTGCCAGTAGCTATATATTGTAGAAAACTATACTTCAGTATCCTTATCACATTTTTTGTTTGTTTTTTCAAGACAGGGTTTCTCTGTGTTAACAGCCCTAGCTATTATAATTTTTAAAGTGCAGCACATGAGAGAAAGAACATGCAACAGAGCTTGGGTAGAGGAGTTTATTTATTAGGGAAAAGGGAATGGGAAAGGGAGGACTCGAGGGGGGGGGCGTATCCAGTCTCTGGAGACAGGAACAGCAGAAGAGAAAAGAGAGGCATAGAAGGTGAGGGGGAGGAGAAGAAAGACAGACAGGTAGAGAAGCAGAAAGAGAGAGAGAAAGAAAGAAAAATGGGAGGTGGGCAGGGCCCTTTTAAAAGAACGCAGGTGGTGCTCTTAATGGCTGCAGCTGAGGGCGTATCCTGTCAGAACCCCAAGGACTGGCCAGAACAGATGACTGAATACTAACACTGACTGTCCTGGAACTTACTCTGTATACCCTGTAGACCAGGCTGGGCTCAGATTCAGAGATCTGCCTGCCTTTGCCTCCCAAGTGCTTGGATTAAGGTTGTGCACCACCATGCCCAGCCTTATCACAGTTTTTCAGAGTTCTCTACCATGGCTTCCTGTCTAGGCCGTTACTTTTGGGATGGGGTTGTCACAGAAGCCTCCCATGTCTCTCTTTCTTGACTGTGAGCCTGCAGTCATCAACAACACTGCAGAAGAAGCCTCCTTGTCCTTTACAGTCATTATCATGGACTTCCACATGCTACCTGATGACAGCATGTACCACAGACATCCACCTGGTCTCTGGCATCAGCATGTACTGTAGAACTCAGCATGGCTTTCAGCAATAACATGGGCCATGGGCACCAACATGGTCCCCAACTGCAGCAGTACCATGAACCCAGACATGCCCTCACCCCCAACAGCATAGATCATGGACATCAACATGGCCTCAGGTGGCAGCACAAATTACTCACATCTATTACCCACCCTCATCAGCAACACAGCCCATGGACATCAACATGGCTTCAGGCAGTACAGGACACAGGTCACCTTGGACATCAACACAGTCCCAGGCTGCAGCAGGGCCATGAACTCAGACATGTACTACCCCCAGTGGCAGCATGGACCACAAACATCAACATGGCCTCAGGTGGTAGACCAGACCATGCACATCAACATGGTCTCCAATAGCAGCTCAGGTTCAGCCTCTCTCCACTGTGTAGGCACTGTTCTGCTCCTCTTCCTTCCCACCCCTCCATAGAAAATTCATTCATTGAAGTGGGACTGGAAACTGCAGCACCTCTCTCTCTCTCTGTCTCTCTCTACACACACACACACACACACACACACACACACACACACACACACACACTTGCCCTCACAACTCTAAATGCAAATATTCATTGCCAGGAGTCATTGGTGCTCTGGCTCAAGGCCTCCAGGTTTCTGAAGCACCATAAGTACTGGACCATTGATGAGACTTCTTTGATCACAGTCACGCTTCAGGTTTTCATCTTGGATGGTGATGATGTGCTTGCTCCCAGACCTGGTCCAGGGGCTCATAAATGGAGTAGGGCCTGGATGGCTGCTGAGTTGGTCACCACCACTACCCCCCAACAGCTCCCTTCCTCCCTCCCTCCCTCCCTCCCTCCCTCCCTCCCTCCCTCCCTCCCTCCCTCCCTCCCTCCCTCCCTCCCCGTGCTGCAGCAGGCTCTTCTGGGGGCTGTGTCTTTCCTTGTTAACTAGAAATCATTCTTGGCCTAGAAATCATGAACGCATCTCACAGAAGCAGATAGCTGAAGTGGAAAGCCTAAGTTACATGTTCTTAACAATAGAAAAATAAAACAGAGGGATAACAATTATGTGTGACTTATTTATTTGTTTGTTAGTTTTGGTTTTTGGATTTTTGAGACAGGGTTTCTGTGTATAACAGCCCTAGCTGTCCTGGAACTAGCTCTGTAGACCAGGTAGACCTCAAACTCACAGAAATCTACCTGCTTTCTGCCTCCTGAGTCCTAGGATTAAAGGCATCACCACTACTGCCCAGCTGTGACTTCTTTACATGCTCTAAAATTTTGATATTCGACTAGCAAAGTGATAAACAGAAATTATATATGCTCTAAAGCCTGCCTGCAGTGCTCAACAATTCAACTCATGCCACTCAGTGACCCTTTATTCTGAACTAGTATGTGTGCGGACTCCATTCATTTCTGAGATGATGGTGCACGCTATGTGATTGATATTAACCAGACAGTGCCTGCATAGGGGGCAACGTGGGTCCCCGGCAAGGCGGTCCCTCTTCCTGCCCTCAAATAATGTGTGCTTCTTGGAGAAAGATGATGATGATGATATCGACCAAGAGAATAAATAGTAGAGTGTCAACTTGCCAAAACAGGTAAAAAGTGTCATAAGATTGCAGAGGCAGGAAATATCACTGGAAATTCAGGGAGACTTCATGGAAGATATATGAGCTGAGGCTTGGGAGGCACTTCAAGATCAAAGAAAAGATCTCGGACCTCGTGCAGTCACTTTGAATCACTGTCACCAGAGACCTGACCGCGGAAGGGAGGACACGTTCAGTTTCAGAGACATTACCGTCCATTGAGGCACAGAATGTGGCAGCACTAGGACACAGTCCGCACCTCCAGTTACAGTGAGCCAAGAAGAGGGACTGGCCCAGCAGCGTGGTCTAATGTTGGGAGGCCTGTCCCTAATGACCTATTTGCACCAGCTGCACTGCATCTCCCAAAGGTTCTCCAACCTCTCAAAATAGCACCACCAGCTGGGGACCAAGTGTTTACTGTATTTGTCTGGGGGTATGTTCCAGCTCAAATCATAACAGGGCTGTTTAGATAACAGGCACTTATGTCCTTCTGGGGACTGTTAAGACTGGATTTCATTTTATTCATGAGCAAGGCATTGTCTTCACTCAATTGAAATAAATGTGTATTTATTCATGCTATTTATTTGTGTTTTGCCTGCATGTATGTCTGTGTACCACGTGTATGCTCAGGAATGTTGTGTAGGTCCGGAGGAGGCATCAGACCCCATGGAACTTGAGTTACAGATATTTGTGAACCACCATGTGGATGCTGGGAACTGAGCCCAGGTCCTCTGAAAGAACAAGTACTCTTAACCACTGAGCCATCTCTCCAGCCTCCTTCACTCAATTTTAAATACCATGATGGGAGAGATAATCTCTCAGTATTCTCGGGGGATTGTTCCTAGTCTCCTCCTCTATGGACACCAAATTCTGACAATGCTTATGTCATAGTATTTACATGTAACCTAGGCACATTCTCCATATATTTCAAATAACCTTTAGGTGATTTATCATACCTATTATAATATAAATGCTATGTAAGTGGTTGTTGTATAATATATACTACATAAGACACATATAGTACTTCAGCTTAGTTGTTAGGGAATAATGATGAAAAACAAGTCTATATAGGTTTAGTATAGACATCATTTTGTGTGTGTGTATGTGTGTGTGTGTGTGTGTGTGTGTGTGTGTGTGTGTGTACATGAGTTCACTTCCCCAGCACCCATGTTAAAAGCTGATCAGGCATGACTGCATGTATGTACACCTTCAAGTGTGCACACAGAGGCCAAAGAAGGATGCCAAGTGTCTTCCTGTCTTCCTCTACCCCTGTCCACCATATGGCCTGGAGACAAGGTCTCTCACTGAACAAGAAGCTAGTTGGCCAGTGAGCTTTTGGACCTACCTTTTTCCCCTCACCCCACCCCTGCTCCCAGGGATTACAGGCACTTGCAGTCATACCCAGCTTTCTACATGGGTGCGAGGGATCTGAACTCAGGTCCTCACACTTAAAAAACAAGGGATCTTATCCACTAAGCCGTATATCCATGCCCCAAATACCACATAAAAATATTTTTAATTCATGGTTGGTTGACTCTATAAGTGTAGAATTTGCAGATATGGAAGGATAGCTGTGTAATATTTGTTCATTTTGCTTCTTTGATTTTGAGACAATCTTGTATTCTCATATTTATGCCAGCAAAACATACGTATAGAGTGTCTACTATACACCAGGCACTTTAGTGCATAAGTTTTTAAAGCAGTGGTTCTCAACCTGTGGGTCATGATTCCTTTGGGGATTAAATATTAGATATCCTGAATATCAGATATTTACATTATGGTTCATAGCAGTAGCAAAATGACTTCTATGAAGTAGCAATGAAATAATTTTATGGTTGGGGCTACTACAACATGAGAAACTGTATTAAAGGGTTACAGCATGAAGAAAGTTGAGAGCCATTGATTTAAAGAAGAGAAAAAAGGAGTTAGAAAGTGAGTAGCAGTCACCTGAGCCCCTCAAAGGTATGGGTAAAGTTGGTTTGATGCCCCCCCCAGTAGAAGAAGAAAGCCCTTTAAAAAGTTAGGTCACCTCCCCAGGCCATTTTCAACACCTCACATCTACTCTACTTTGCAGTGCTGAAGTGACAATAAATTCAGTGTGTACCTTCTGGGTTTTCTCAGCAGCAGCACGCACAGGACAACTGGTTGGCAGCGAACCCGGAGCTGAGGCAGGGAGGTGGAGGGAGGGATCACAAGGCTACCATGTAGCCAGCTGTTCTCGGTTCTCTCCTCGTCACTCAGATTCCACTAGAGATTGT